ATACACATACATACATACATACACATATATATATATATATATAGTCAAGTATACCGACACACCGTGACACCACTGTAAACATCTGTCATGATTGTCCTTATTCAATACTGCCGACAGTGTCTCTTTGTAAACTGAGGGCCAGACTTAGATCAGCTGTCACCGCCCGGCTAATTCCAGCGATGCACCGGTTGAGTTGTGTGTTGTGACAGAGAACCGGGACGTCTCTACGTCACACCGGCTCCATTACAATGATAAGAGCCTGACAGTTACACAGTTTGGTTTGGTTGTGGGGGAGGAATCACAATAGGATAATGGAACAACTAAAAAAAATAATCGATTAGTTTTCAACTATTAACTAAATTGCCAACTACTTTGATAATCACTTTATCTTTATTATTTGTGTAATTTTTTAAAGAAAAAAAAATTAAAATTCTCTGATTCCAACTTCTTAAATGTGAATATTTAATCATACTTTTTCTTCCCCCTCTGAGACAAACGAGACATTTCAAGTCTTCATCTTGGATTTTGAGGAACACTGATTCTTTCGCTGCAGCCTTGTTTGTGTTACAATGTACTCCCCGCCTACAAGTAAAACACTTAAGAATTACAAATTCCCATGCAGCTTTTGTAAACAAGGTCAAGCGTACTGCAGTTCATAACGTCCATGTATCACCAGCTGCTCTATTATGTCATGCATCATGCCATGAGTATGAAGAGAAACAACGCTCACTCACTTCTGCTTGGCTGGAGGGGGGCAGAGCCAGCCCGGTGGCCTCGGACACTGGCAGGGGGCTCTGATGGTCGCTCACACGGGGGGCCATGTGTGCCCTTCACGGATCACCAAGGCGGTCGGACAGTCAGTAAAAACCCACTGAGGAGGAATTAAAAGAATATGGAGGAGCACTTCAAAAAAAAAAAAAAATGAAAAGACGGAACAACAAGCCGCCATGACGCAAACTGCCTCAGTTAAACACAACAGCCTGGCTTGTAAACACAATCTCTGCTGTTCAATACGATTACTTCCATCACGTAAAGCAAACAAACCGTCTACATGTATCAATCAACAATGTTGCATATTATCCTAAACTACTGGGCGCTGATAAAAGAACAACGCAATGTCAGTGACCGCACCTGAAGTAAATAAAACTGCGAATCAGAGTTAAGGAAAAAATGAACAAACAGGCACAATGAATCGTTATTGCAGTTAAATCTAGATATTCATTGAGGACTTCATGCCGCATTTAGTTACCTTCGTTTGTGTTTAAAAGGACCCCGTGTTTACAAGTCTGACGCCACTCTGCCCCTGCAGATTCTTGCACACATTTCTTGTTTGCTCGCTGGAGCTGTGCTGTTCAGACTAGTCGCATTTACTAACTTGCGCGTTCCGCCGCCTGCACGTCTTGTCTCTTTTTTTCCCCTCCACGTTGTCGTCACGTTGTTAAAGACAGATGTCGCGCTGCGGCAGACTGTGTTGTATATTTATAGATGAAGAGCTGCGAGGAATTCCTGCCGCTGCCTGGTTCTGCTCACAAGATTATTTGAGCTTTTCAAAGGTTTAAAAAAAATGGGCCAGTGTTTTGGACTACAAAACCCATGAGCGAATCCCGTTGGTCGGATGAAATCTCGCGAGTTTATCTAAAACATTGGGTTGCCAGTTCTGTTCATATCTAAGTTAAACTGTGTTCAGTCGATGCTGTTGCCAGAACATTTTGAGTTTAGGAGCATTTCAACTCAAACAACTAAGTTAACATTACGGTTATGAATAATCAGTTAACCCTATGATTAGTTTCAAGAATGATCAATTTCAGAGGTTTGATTTACTGACTGGACATGAACATTTAAAAAGTACTTTTAATGTGAACATCTTCCATATAGTTAGTTGAGATTCAGCATTCGTATATTGTAGGTTTTGCACTCAAAAAAATTAAAAATCCTATATGTATCAATTAAACAGAATGAAGTAAGAGTAGCATATCCCACAAAATGGAAATTATTCAAAACACCAGTGTATTATGACCAAATTTGTTGCAGCCCTTGAGGAATTTGGATCACTTGTACTTTGTGTTTTTATTTTTATGTTTGTAAATATAGAAATAGAAAGTATTAAATTAAATGTTAACTAAAAAGTGATGGATTTGGGGGTTTAAACACCCTGGTTATGGGTTCTACGTGACCGAACCTGGCAACCCGGGAGTCTGGCCATAGCGCTGAAAAACTTGTTGTTGTCGGGGAAAATGGCGTCAAACGTTGAGGCCCCGGAGCGCTGGTACCTCGCCCTTCTCGGCTTTGCGGAGCATTTCCGAACCTCCAGTCCGCCCAAAATTCGGCTCTGTGTGCACTGTCTACAGGCGGTGTTTCAGTTCAAGCCGCCGCAGAGGATCGAGGCCCGGACGCATCTTCAGCTGGGCTCGGTCCTCTACCACCACACCAAGAACAGCGAGCTGGCCCGCAGCCACCTGGAGAAAGCGGTGAGGGACGTTCGATTCAGGAAAGAGCGGGGATGCAGCGGAGAAGCGGGACGGGGTGTAGGCCGCGGGCAGCAAAACACAGAGAATGGCGGAAATCTTTACATAGCTGTCAATTCGGGAAGGTTAAATGTGTGAAGAAGTTAAAATTTTAGATTTCTTAAGTGTTTTTTTGTGAAATATTCGTCCCGGGCCGGCCGCTTCCGTCCTTTCACTGATGTTAGCCAAAATAAGCCGCTGTATGGGATTATTATTATTGGTTCATAAAGATAGCAAACAAACACCGACAATATAACGCCGCTAACGTTTGCTATCTCTTGTTTTGCAGTGGTTCATATCTCAACAAGTCCCTCAGTTTGAAGATGTCAAATTTGAAGCCGCCAGCATTTTGTCAGAACTCTTCTGCCAACAGGTAAATTACATTGAAGTAACATACATTCATCACTTCTTACCACGACGTGTAATTGGCATTGTATTGTGATGCTACGTGCAGGATAGGGTATGCATAGTTTGTTTTTAAATGATTGATTATTGATTATTGATCATTTTGAATCAATTGTCTAGAATTTGGTGGACTCTGCAAAACCCCTGCTGCGCAAGGCCATCCAGATCTCACAACAAACTCCGTACTGGCACTGCAGGTTGTTGTTCCAGTTGGCGGTATGTATCGGAGCGACAGCATTGAACAGGGGTCATATTGTTGCACTCACAGAGTCATTTTCGGGCACAGGTCCAACATTGTTTGAGTTGAACATGAGAACACATGTGCAGCAGCTAATTCAGGTGCTTAGTCCCTGTGCTGTTTGCTCACACTTGTACTTTGTATGTTTTTAATTGGATGTTTTTGTTTTGTTGCAAGAGTACAGCCTTTGTGACCAAATAGCAAAAAGACAGGAATGTTCTTATTGCTTCTTTCAGCAACTTCATACACTGGAGAAAGACTTGGTGTCAGCATGTGACCTGCTGGGGGTCGGAGCCGAGTACGCCCGAGTGGTTGGGTCAGAATATACCAGGTACATGTCCCACAATCCTCTGGTTGACTGCATATTTAAGGCTTTCAGTGGTTAGCAGCTGACATTTATTTAACTAGGAAGTCATATTGAGATTAAAACCTCCTATTATGAGTGAGTCCTAGCCAAGACCGTGTCAAATATCACCATCCAACACGTAACAGGACATGAAATAGCAGCTTTAAACCATTTTAAATGATCTAACATCCTACTATGAGGTATAAGGATCAATGATGGGTCCTGAAGTTAGAATTAGTGATGTATTACAGGGACGAGTGATCCAGTGGGTCAAGTTTAGACAAGGTGGAGGGTATGACAAACCTGTGAATAAATAGTGCCAACAAAATCAAGTGTTTTCTCGATGCCATGAAAAACAGGGACACACACAAAACCCAGTGTGAATTTGACTTTCTTTTCGAGATGATCAATATGGTGTTTAGACTGAATAGAGACACCTTTTAAGAGTAAGGGTTAGAACATTTTGTTCGCACAGGAAATTCCGGTTAATTACTCGCACAAAAACAAAATATTTGTAGACAAAGGACACGTATGAGTAATTTATCCGTCTCAGTCACTGCACCCTGACTGATTCACTGTCCTCTAGGGTTTGCCACATTTTTCACCTGTCAAATCCTGTAATACCATTTCAAAGAACATAATTTCCTTGTTCCTCATCTTCATCGAAGATAAAATGTTGCTCTTGTAAAAGTGTCGTGATAATGGCACCCTTCACTGGTGCTCGACATGGTTCAACCGGTTCTGAGTACATTTTCACACGCCTTCGCGCTGGAGCATTCTTTGCTCCCAAAACAACTGTGGCACAAAGTGCTGATTCATGATATATGAAAGATTGATTGATTGTGAGGACTGACTGGTGAAAAAGCTGACTTTGTGTTTTTGCTTTCTAGGGCACTGTTTCTCCTCAGTAAAGGAATGGTGAGTCATCTGCTCTCCTTATTTGTTTATGCTATTTGTACTGTTACACCATGACAGTATAAACAAGGATAGGTTTTAATTGTGGAGATTTTCTTTTTCTTCTTTTTACCCATAGTTGCTGCTAATGGAGAGGAAGCTCGGGGAGGTGCATCCTCTGCTCACACTGTGCGGAACTATTGTAGAAAACTGGCAGGGAAACCCGATCCAGAAGGAGTCCCTGAGGGTCTTCTTCCTGGTCCTACAGGTCACACACTACCTGGATGCTGGACAAGTAGGAAAACCACCCTCTATAAAGTGTGACGGACTTGTTTCTGAGGGTTTAAATGACTGTTTATGGACATCATCGTTGTGTTCGTGTCTCTCCAGGTGAAGAGTGTGAAGCCGTGTCTGAAGCAGCTGCAGCAGTGCATCCAGACCATTTCTACACTCCACGACGATGAGATTCTGCCCAGCAACCCAGCGGACCTCTTCCACTGGCTACCCAAGGAGCACATGTGTGTCCTTGTCTATTTGGTAATGCCACTTCTCTTTCTTTGAATCCTCCAATCTGGTCATCTCTAAATTTTAGTTTGAGTGATTTTAGGTCATGCAGCCAAGTACCCTCCCTACAACAACAACAACAATAACAGAAAGTTACATGTCCAGTTACCTGGGCATGTAACTGGATTTTTTTTTTTAACACTCTTCTATTATATTCATGCTTTTATCCTCTTGAAGGATGCACAGTGTCGTGGGCGGGAGAGGTTGGATGTCCTCCGAGGCCTTTGGAAATACATCTCACTTGCTACAATAAGAATGAGTGCATTTTGAATATAGAGGATAAAAAGACAACACGGTGACGTGTTCTCGTTATTCATTTAGGTTGCTTCTAAGATACATCTGATAACTTTGTAATTAAAAGACAAACTAATAACACTAAAACAACAATGACACAGTTGTTGTTATCCTTCCGGATAGCTTGACACAACTGCAGTGTCACAGCGTGCTTGGCATTTTTAGGAATTGGTTCACGTTGCTTAATATCTCCTCCTTGTCATTCT